AAGAGGAGAAGGGGACAACAGAGGACGAGATGGTTGGACAGGGCCATCAAAGCGACCAACATGAATTTGACCCAACTCTGGGAGGCAGTGGAAAACAGGAGGGCCCGGCGTGCTCTGGTCCATGGGGTCACAAAGAGTCAGACACGACTGAACGACTAAACAACAAACAACAGGTAAATACATGGTTTTCTTGTATCCTGAAGCTAGTGACTGAAACCTGCAATGAGGTGAGGATAGGTCTGTTCCTGTACAACAGAAAGCACCATGTCCATAGAAGCAACCTTTCTGTGCCTGACAAGGGACATCTTTCCAGGATTTTGAGGTGTGCATGTGAGTTTTAATAACTTACCAACAAAGCTGTGATATACATGAAGCCAGCAGCCGTTGTAACGAGGATTGGAACCGTCCAGTCACTCCAGTATCCCATTTTATTATATAAAAACCTGAAGGATCAAAGGAAGGGATGGGGGGGGGAAAGGAGATTAGATTCAGGTCTTTCATGTCACGGACGCTTGCCTGGTCTGAGTCAGGGATTAAACTCTTTGCTTCAAAAAACAAAGGGCAGGAACGGAATGAGAAGCATGAAAAACACATGTATCTAAAATGTAAAATGCACCTGTGGGCCTCTCCACAGACTGTTTTGGACAGCTGATCCAACTTATTCTGCACTGATAGATTTTTGGTTTTAACTGCAACATTCACAGCCATGCAGAATGAGGATTCTGGGAAATGCAGTCCAAAAATGTACTATTTACAGGCTCTGGGCATACCAGTGGTCAATCCAACTGGTGGCTCCAATGTTAGGGAAGCCATGAATCCGTACCTGATTTCAGTCCAAACATTACCAGAGCTATCCATGGTGCTGAATTTTACCCCCGATACAAGTTCTGCATTGTGCATTGCTTGCTTAAAAGTTCACACTAAAACCCAGAGTGGATTCAGGGCCCTAACAACCCTGAAACAGACTGTATGTGTTTCACAAGTGGTGCACAGAGGCAGCTGAGGTGGGGATTTACGATTTCCAAAACCATTACTTAATAAGCTCCAGTGACTGAATGGCTCTCTTCTAACTGGATTGGCTAATTGGAATTAGACTGTTATCCCTGGCATTCATCAGCTAGGAATGGAATTATTAGGGTTGATGTTGTTTGTGTTTATTTCCAGCCATTCTACTGCCAGTGTTTAGCTTCTTAAAGCTTTAATGAAAATGATAAATGCGGTAACAAAATGCCTATGGAGATACAGCCCTCTTTCTTGAGAAATAAAAAAGTGCCTGAGGGTGGGACTCAATCTTTTGGCTGACTGGCAGTGTAGAAGAGACAAGAGGCTCCGGTCTACACCAACCTCCCCTAACATGCCCAAACGTGCTGGACTACAAAGCTCACCATCCCCCTTCACCATCCACCAATGCTGTCTGGAGATGATGGGGGTTGTCGTTCAGCACGTACAGAAGGAGCTCAATTGCAAAAGGCTTTGCCAACAACAAAAGGCGGATGCTCTCTGGATGTCACAGGCAGGAAGAGCCTTTTCTCAGAGACTGAGGGAGCTGAGAGTCCATGGTGGCTGGACTCGACGGACCCAGCAAAGAAGCAGCCGTGGAAGGAAGAGGCAGAAAGATTTTGCGTATGAAGACTGGGTGCGGGACACCAGTGTTGAGTTGTGTTGAATTACAACTCCCATCACTTCCAGGCAGCCCCGGCTGATGATGAATGGGGATGTTGGGTGTTGTAGTCCAGCACATTTGGGCAGGCACCAATTTCAGAGAATCACGGAGTGGGAAGGGGCCCCTAAGGCCATCCAGTCCAACCTCTTGCTCAAAGCAAATCCAAAGCAGATCTGACAGAGGGTGGTCCATTTTTCTCTTGAAGGCCTCCAGCATTAGAATTTAGGGAGGGCGGGCAGGTGTAGAACAAAGTTTCTTAGCTTCTATCTCTTCCACGTTACCAGTCAGTCAAAGGTCTGAGTGTCCACCATCACGTTACACGCCACGGTGACTGCACCAGAGGCTGTTTGTCTCTTAAAACCCATTTCAAAGGAATAAAGCAGGAGACAGGGAAGTTCCTTATCTTGGACTCGGCTAGGCTGGCAGGAGATGAATCCTGGGAATCGTAATCCAGTTTAAAAAACTGTTCCAAACGGTGTTGTATCCTGTTTGCAGGTATCGTATAGGTGCCTGCTGGGCTGCGACAGGAACAGAACAAGGGGCGAGATGGTGCTCTGAGCGGATTCCTGTCTGATTCGGCTTGGCACGGCGGGTCTCACGTTGTACCTTCCCTGCACCGAAGCTGCTGTGACTTTTTCACATTTCTACCTATTTTTACATAGAGCCCTTTCTTTTTCAATAGAACCCAATCTCACAAGTGTTGGAATCATCATTCCTACGCCATCCATCATTGCATGTGCCTGTGATCTAACTAAATGAAGAGTAGCATTAGCAAAAACAAACAAACCTCCAATAGACAAAAACCATCCCATCCTGCTATAAATTGGTCCTGTAAAAAACATCACCTTCCACCCTTTTCCAAATGGGAAAAGGTCGAAATTTGCATTTAAATAGAGACACCCTTACTAATAACTGTCAATAAGGCCCCTGGTTAATTAAAATGGAACTGGGGACGGTTCATCTGGAAGCCAGCTGGGAAGCGGAGTCTTGTGTCTCCATGAAGGTGATGAATTTCAGGTTGCTAGCCAGGGGAGTAAACTCAGCAGGCAGACCGGTCACCCGTCCACCGCTTAAGGAAGCCGTACGTTTCTGAGATGCAATTCTGTTTCAATCATCGAAATCCTTTCTGATCACTATGTATGGGTGTGAAAGGTGGACTGAAAAGAAAGTGGACAGGGGAGAAAATGACTCGTTTGAAATGCCGTGCTGGAAGAGAGCTTTGCACATACCCTGGACCGCCAGAAAGATGAACAAGTGGGTCCTAGATCAAATCAAGGCTGAATTATCTATGGAGGAAAAAAATAATGAAACAGAGGCTGCCCTACTTTGGGCATATCCTGAAAAGGCAAGATTCTCTGGAAAAGACAGTAATGCTGGGAAAAGCTGAAAGCAGCAGGAAAAGAGGAAGACCCAATGCAAGATGGAATGACTCCCTCAAGGAAGCCACAGACTTGAGTCTGCAAGAGCTGAGCAGGGCTGTTGAGGACAGACCAGTTTTGAGATTGCTCATGAATCAGAGACGACGTGACAGCACACAAGGACGAGAAGAAATTCCTTCCAATTGTGCATGCATTTTACTAGCATATGCAACATATGGATATCAACATCCTCTTCAGTCCAGCTTTTGGCAATGCAGGGGCTCTTTGTGGATGAAGCATAAGCAAGCACTGTGTCACCCAGAGATGGCACACCTGTCTTGTTCGTGACCGAAACGTGGGGCTCCTGGGAAAAAACAGCATTTCCTTCTTGGCCAAGAATAAGCCTTGGGATAATTAAAGGTTCCTCTCCTGCCGTGTTGCTATTTCCTCCCTGATTATTTTACCATAGAAAGTGGTGCTATATTTAATGCCGCTTCCCTCCCGAGAAATCTGATCATGACAGCGCACACAGCATATTTATTTATGCTACCAACCGTACTGTCTCTCAAAAAGACACAAGATGGGGGAATGGAGATTTCGGAAGGCGAGAAGGAACATTCTCTAAATCTTGAACCATGAAATGATGCAAATCAAGGCAAAAGCTCAAAAAAATAAGGGACGACCCACAAAGAAATCGCAGGAGCCGGAGATGGACTCTTGCCGATCACCAAGACGTGACATTTCATGACTGAAGGCTATTCTCTAAGACGGGGGACGTCAACCTCTGGTCCGCGGCCTGGTGCCGGTCCGTGGGTGGGGGACGTCAACCTCCGGTCCGCGCCCTGGTGCTGGTCCGTGGGCTTGCCGGAAGTGGGCCACAGATACGGATCTCCACACACACCCTGCACACATGCGCAAGGGGCGTAACACGCCCACTGCGCGAGGACGGGGGTGCCCACATACACCCGCACATGGAGCTCACTCCCCACCCCACCCGGTAAGCGGCCCCAAAAAAGTTGGGGGGCCACTGCTCTAAGACTACATCACACACAACACAAACACTGGATTTCATCCAAGTTGTTAACAAACTAAACAGCGATCCACAAGAATGATGGATCCCAGAAGATGGGCAATATAGTTGCAGAGAGATCTGATAGAAGAGTTTGGGAAAGTTCCATTTGAAACTCCAAGAACACAAAAAGTAAATTCCTAAGCTCTGCCCAGCACGGACGCGGAATGTACACCCACCCAACGAACGTATGCTGAGTCTCTACCAAGTGTGTCCAGCAAACCGGGGAAGGCCAGGAATTAAACTGCAGAGCATGTATTTTGCATGCAGAGAATCCTGGGTTCGAATCCAGCTTCCATCTCCAGTTTTATGAAGGACCATGAGTAGTCTTTTCCATTATCGGCTTACACATGATCCTGGGGAGTTGCTGTTCCTCACTGAAACAGGGCTGGTCCTACCATACGGATTCTTTTACGGAGTCAGTCCATCTCGTATTGAGTCTTCCCCGGCTTACACATAACCCTGGGGAGTTGTTGTCCCTCATTGAAACTGGGCTGGTCCTACCATATGGGTTCCTTTAGGGAGTCAGTCCCCTCTTCTCCTGCTGCCTTCCACCTTTCCCAACATTACTGTCTTTTCCAGAGAATCCTGTCTTCTCGAGATGTGTCCAAAGTAGGACAGCCTCAGTTTCAGGATCATCAGGAGAGGCCTTTCTCTCATTCCCACCATCCTGAAGGTGCACCTGGTGGGGGCTTTGTCTGTGGCTGCTCCTTTAGACTGTGGAACTCCTTCCCACTGGAGGCCAGCCTGGCCCCATCATGGCCGTCCTTCCACAAGCAGGCGAAGACCTTTCTCTTCAGGTAAGCTTTCCTTTAATGACTGGCTGGCTGAGTGAGATTTTAAATGGATTGTTGCATCTTACAACTTTGTGTTTTGGTGTTGCTAATGTTTTTTCTGGATGAGATTTGTCTGATTGTTTGGTACTCACCACTGTTAGCATTAAGTACTATCTTTTAATGATGCAAGCCGCCTTGGTTCCTTTTTAAAGGGAAAGGCGGCAGTGGGGAGGGGGTTTCAATATTTTGAATAAATAGTTAATAATAAATTTACCTCCAGAGACAGTTCAGCCTTGATTTGCTCTAGGACCTGTTTGTTCGATTTTCTGGCAATCCAGAATATCCACAAAGTGCTGTATTTCAAACGAATCAATTTTTTTTCTTTACTGTCCTGCCTTCATACCTGCACATGGTGTGTACATCCTGGCCTTGGTCTCCAGTGACACATCCTTACACTTGATCTTTTCTAATTCCTTCATCACTCCCCTTCCAATCCTCTTCTGATCTCTTGGTTGCCGTCTCCCTTTGGATTGATGATTGAACCAAGGTATACAAAATCACTATTTCAATGTCTTCATTGTCACCATTAAAGTTGGGCAGATCTTCTGTACTCATGATTTTGGTCTTGTTAACATTCAACTGTAGTCCTGCTTTGGCACTTTCTTCTTTCTCTTTTCCTAAAAGTCATATCCAAGTCATGGCTACTTCCTGCCAGTAAGATGGTGTCATCTGCACAGCTTATATTATTGATGTTTCTTCCACCAGCAAAGTAAATTAGAGATCTACTTTGGTATTGTTGCATTCTTACTACCAGGAACATATCCATGTATTACAACAGCCTCATGTACAGAATCATTTGGTTGGTTCTGAGGTATTATGTGTGCACCTTTCCTTAAGCAAGTGATGGGCTGCCAGTCACTGCCCTGACTCAGGCAGAAAAAAATGAGTCAACTTGTTCTTGCAGAGGAAAAAATATGGAACTAGGTGAACAAACCACCTGAAACGTGAACAGCAGTTGTCTGTCTTCTAGCTGCCCAAGTTCAGAAGTTCACAAGCTGAGATCACGGTGAAGACAATTCATCTCCTCACACTATTTTCTGCACAATTTGATAAATCGAGGTCTGGGACATGTTTGCATTTCTCTCTATAAACACAGGACGTGGTGGTGCTGTGGGTTAAACCGCAGAAGCCTCTGTGCTGCAAGGTCAGAAGACCAGCCGCCGTAAGATCGAATCCACGTCGCGGAGTGAGCTCCCGTCGCTTGTCCCAGCTCCTGCCAACCTAGCCGTTCGAAAGCATGTAAAAATGCTAGTCGATAAATAGGTACCACCTCGGTGGGAAAGTCACAGCGTTCCGTGTCTAGTCACGCTTGCCACGTGACCATGGAAACGGTCTTCGGACAAACGCTGGCTCTATGGCTTAGAGATGGAGATGAGCACCGCGCCCTAGAGTCGGACACGACTGGCCTAAATGTCAAGGGGAACCCTTGACCTTTACCTGTAAACATACCCATAAAAACCCTGGGAACTGGAATTACAAAAATTCTAACAGCTTAACTCAGATGTTTTTCCCTTTTTGGGCTGTCATTCCCAAAATTGTCCAGGCAGAGCGGTCATGTTGATCATAGCGGCATTTGGGGAGTTGTAGTTTAATAAAATAACATTTCCAAATTCTGATTCTGTAAAAGGACTATACTAGGACCCCAGATGGCGAGAAACTGCTACTCTTACCATCTTGTACCATTGACCAGATGGGGAAGGGACTAAGCTGATGGAAACTGGAGTTCCACCACATCTGGATGGCTACAGGTTACACTAAAACTGTCATCTTCTCCCAGCCCCCAAGATACCTGGTCCAGAGGCCTATTGCTTCCAAACTGTGCTCACAACCCACAGAAACCAGAGAAGGGCTGAGCACGAACCCCCAGCATTTGAGGACAGGAAAGGTTTTCTGTGTCACACAGAATTCCTCCACTATTCCTGCTACAGGTCACTAAATCAGCTGTGTGGAAACACGGAAAGTATGGAAGTATTGTCCAACATCATCAGGTGTGTTTTGCTCCACAATACACAACGCGGCAGCTCTGCTTCACCATCCAACCTGTTTCAACACAGCCAATAAACAGAGTTTGGTGCCAGCGGGAAGAGTGAAGCTTTGATGGATGTCACTGTCGGATAAACTGACACCATACACGCTTTTTCTTCCGTTGGGCAGAATGAATATTGTTTGCAAGCCTAGACAGCTGGAATATTAGCAGCCCCTCCGGTCATCTTCTGAGCTGATGATCAGCTTAGAGGCGCTTGAGCTTCCGAGTCAAATTTTCAACAGCCTGCAATAGGCACGTTTCAGGGAGGGACAAGGGTGTGGGAGAGACCACAGGGCTCAAGGCCGCTGTCTACTCACCAGTTAATTTCGTTGTAGTCATTGTGAACTTCCCACCAGAAATAAAACCAGATCAAGGTCAAGAAGAAAGAGAATGTGAGGATTAAGAACCACAGGCGCTCCCACTGTAAAGGAAAAAGAAAAAAAGAAAGAGGGAAGAATTAAATTCAGAGCTTCTGCTTGAGCTTCTGCAAAGCCTTGCTCTCGTGACATCTCCAAAAAGTGCCTTTTAAGGTTATCAGCTCTTGCATTTTTTGAATGTAATTAAAACATTCTCTCTTTTTTGTATTTCACTGCACTTTTTATTTTGGATTAAACTCTGACTTAAGGATTTGCCTACAACCTACTAAACGTAGGTTATTTCTAAGCCTTTGTGCCTACAGTTTTTTTTCTCGAGAGTGGCAGAAATATTTTCAACACCTTTTGTCTTGTTGCTTTGTGAAGCCTTTTTGTGCGTTATGGAACTTAGAAGCAATGAAGATAAATAAAGCCTGTAGAGCAAGACAAGCTGACATTGCCCGGAATTGTTGCAACGATGACACCTTATAAACCTTGTAAGAACTAATGGGCATATCTTTATAACAAAAATAATTCCTTGGGTCTAAAGCTTTTGTTCCATTTCCATTCCTTGTGGTTTAAACAGACATCCACAAAATTTTCAGAATTGGTGGGAAGATTTATGCCACGATACCTAGATGAATTTCGACATCCTTGGACAGGACAGTCTGTTTTCATTCTGGGATTAACCCTTAAAACGCCAGCTGTGACAAACACAGGATTCTGATCTCCCCCACCCCAAGAGAGCTACACAACAGGGCTCTTAAGAGAGATGTTCGGGAGTGCAACCCACTGCCTGGCAAAACTATTGCACACTTCGACACATGAGCCCTCAGTCACATGGCTGGCAAAATGCCCAAACACGCTTGCTCTTACACATGCAGTATTTCACAGTAGTATTGCAGCCACTGTGTTGGCTAGGATACCGGGATGCATATCTCTCTATCCACGTCACTTTTCCTCTCACCTCCCCCCCCCCCCC